TTAAACGTTGTATAAAACATAAAGGATTTTAATGTTTTATATTTATATCTTTAAGCAATCAAAGCATGAAAACTAATTAATTAAAATAAAAGGTAAAAATAAAGATAAAACAGCAATTGATTAAAAGAAGAAATGTAATTAAAATTAGGAAATTATGCTAACATTTAAAGCAATTTTGCCAAACAGATGGTTAAAGCCATTTAAGCATTAATTTTATGCTTTTTACAAATTTTCATTTGGCCATAAGTAAAATAAAATGAATTTTAAAATTATTGACTTTTATTTTCTAAATTTCTAATCAAATATTTTTTATATAAAAAATTGAAGTCAATGAACAGTAGTTAGAAATAAACAACAATTAGAAAATTATATTATAAATCAAATTAAACAAAATTACAAATTATGCTAAAGATTAGTATTTAATGTAATATTATATAACTAATAATTTTTAGTATTGTTTGTAATTTAGTTTAATTTAATTTAATATAATTTAATCATAATAATATTACTAAAACTTGTATGTAAATACAGTAATATTAAAACAATCATTATAGAATTATAATGCAATACTGCATAAACAATGATAATATAATTTGTAATCAATAATTTATGAATTAAATCAAATTATAAAAGTAAGTCTTATATTTAGGAGTTTAAAAATAATGTTTTAATATTATTTGAGAAAATATCAAATTATTAAATAATAGGTTGTTATTAATAACTAAAAATGTGAATTTTCCAATTTAGCAAAAAAAAGTGAAATCAATTGAGAGTAATGTTTGATTGTATTATCAAATCTAAATTACATGAAAAGTTAAAAATTTAGTTCAAATATAAAGACAATCAGACATTAAATTAAATAAGTTTTATTTAATATACCTTTTAAAGGAAAATCTTATAAACTAAATGTAAAAGTACTCCAACTGTACAAACAGTTTAACTATATTTATATGTGGTTTGCAAAACAAAAGCGGTAATTTCAGCAAATTATTTATATACTGTATTTCTTTCTAAAAAGAGAGAAATTGTTTGTGTAATAGAAATATTTGTGGAAAGTATTGTAAAAATACTTGATTTCAATCTATTTATAAATGAAATAAAATGAAAATAAATTTCTTATTGAGACTATTTGTAAAAACCAGTTATTTGTGAATAACTAATACCAATACTAAACTAAACAAAATGTTGTTGTTTTTTGGTTAAATGAAACTTATTTTGGGAATTATAGTGGGATTTGCACGCAATTATACACTCAGACACTCATTTCACTACCCATTAACTTACTGTATGTATACTATTGTAAATATCAATATTATAAAGATTATATAATTTTATTTATTTGAACCAATTATCTAAATCTGTAAATACTTATAATAACTGTTTTTATTTAATATTAATAACAATCTTTGTTAATAAATATGGTAAATATGTTTAGCATTAACTCAAAATAAATAATTAAGATGAAAATATTTACATTCATTTACATAAATATTAAAATAAATATAATGTTTAATAATTTTTTGTTTTGCTATTTTGTTATATTATTCAAACTGTCAATTCATGAAAAGATATACCATTAAAGTGTGTCCACTGAAGCTTATGATAGAAGTTTTGCATTCATTCACAGAAATATAATATTTTTTGTCAATTTCTTTGAACACAAATCTATGGATTGAAACGTCAAATAAGAAAATCAAAGAATCGATTGTTTTATCGATTGGATTACATTTGCCGACTCTATTGACACTGGTTTTGGCCATTCAGACCATTCAGACCTACAAATTCTTACCTTCCTATCCGTTGGGTAAACATTTGAAATGTTTTAATTAATTGTGTAATCAAAGTAAATGAATGGTCAGTACACAGTATTTTGTTTTTGTGTTTGAGCTTTGATTTAATTATGCAAACATTAATTCAAACACACTTTGCTATCAGTTTATTCACGTGTGTAACGATTCAAATGCCTTAACCGCTGATTCAGTTAAGGGTCTAATGATATGAGTTTCAAAAATAAATCGATTGCTTTTGTGCCTCAATAACAACGATATTGTTGTTTAGTTATTGTAAAAGTTTTAGGCTTTTCTAAAATAAAAGTTGTTACCCTTTAGTTTATATACAGAATTTGTTTTAAAATTAATACTATTTTAATGAAATATTAATAATATAATATAAAGTAGAGTTTAAGTTATAATAAGCTTTATTACATTTAATCGCTTACTACGCTAGAGATTATGGTAAATGTTAATGTTATACAAATTTTAATCAATGAAAAATAGAAATAAATTTATTGTTAATTAATTAAATGTTTCAATAAAGTAAATTTCAACCATTATAATATTTATACACGTAATAAAAAATTATTTTTATATTATTAGTTAATACTAATATATATTGAATTTAAATTCAATATTCCGTAAATATAAATATAAAATAATATAGAATTAAATTCTTTATATTTTTGATGACTTAACGCTTCGGGCGCTTAAGTTATGTCAATATTTTTTATATAATTTAATTTTCTCGTCACAAACCATGACTTAAACTCAAACAACAATAAACTCGTTTATCAAACGAAAAATAGGTTTAAATTTAATTTATTTGTCGATCAATCAATTGAGTGATGAAAATAAATATTTAGTCAATTCTGTGGATGAGTTTTAGTGGAAAATATTTTTGAAAAACTTAAAATTTCGCAATTTTTAAATTGTATTCATTTATGTAGATAAATATGAATGTGTTTCAGGTGTTTGGGTTCACATATATTTGAATCAAAATTAAATTTATGCTTTAATTCTCAACAAAAATAGTGAATTATTCACGGAATAAATTTATTACGTAAGAGAGAGAGAGAGAGAGAGAGAGAGAGAGAGAGAAGAAAGTGATTTACAGCCTTTTCTATTATATAATAATTGAAAAATTTTATAAACAAATCTTTTGAGACAAATGTCTAGAAAGTATGAAAATCATTGAGTTTTATAATTTGTTTGTTTGAAACTAAACTCTAACTTATTATAGGTCTCAATGGATCAGTTGAATGCGCTTTTGCGCCATTCATTGCACAATCGTTTTTAGTATTTTAGTATTTGATTCACTATTTCAGTACATTTTACGGACCACTCGTATCGAGAGATAATATTTGGCAAAACAGTTTCAACCAAAATATAATTGTTTACTTGCGTTAAAAAGATTGATAAATTGATTTATTAGAAAATACTTCCCAGTTATGGATCTTATAATAAAATTGTTAAATCTTGTTAAAACTTTTTAATTTATTACTTGTTTCAGAAGATACGTTATTTTTTTTATTATGAAAACATTTTAAGTAATGTTTAATCATAATGAAAACTACACAAACACTGTATGAATATATAATATATTAAGTGATAAAATGATTGATAATAAGAAAATTTTAAATAATGTTGAAAATATATTTAAAAAGTAATTAATCAAAAAACAAACTCATAACCGTTGATATGTCTAACGATTTGAGCGCTGCAAACCTTTCAGAACCGATTACCTCTTGGGTTATAAATAAGGATAACATGTCAGCCAACGGATCCGTTGCCGTCAAAAGAGATGAGAAATTAGTGATTCTTGAGATAACAATCTTATCCGTAATATTTATTCTCATAGTATTTGGCAATTGTTGTGTTTTAGTTGCCATTCAATTGCATAAATCCAAAGCCAATCGTATGTATTATTTTCTACAACACCTGAGCATAAGTGATACGATCACAGCTCTGTTCAATGTATTGCCACAACTTATATGGGAAATAACGTATAGATTTAACGGCGGGAATGTGTTGTGCAAAGTAATCAAATATTTGCAAATTTTTGGCCCATACCTGTCCTCATATGTGTTGGTGATGACAGCCATCGACAGGTATCAGGTTATATGCAACCCATTGTCCAACTGTGGATGGACTCCAAGCAGATCCAAACTGATGATTAAAATAGCGTGGATTGTGTCACTTATGTGTTGTTCGCCTCAACTCTACATCTTCTCCTATCAAGAGATACCGGGAAATCCAGGCGTTTATGATTGTTGGGGTAATTTACTATATTGTACACACATTTTACTTATCCATCCATTTATTATATTAAAGGTTAAATTAATTTATAGTTAATAAATATCCAAAAGTGAAGATCAGTTTTTCAAACAAAATTTAAAAATGGTATTCAATTATATCATTCTATAATCCATAACATAGAGAAGAAGTTACAATATATTTAAGATGTATTTAAGTTTATTCAAGCATTTCTAAGAATTTAAAAGAAGTTTTAAAGGCGATGGAAACGATCTTTACTTGGGTTTAATTGGTCTCTCTCTCTCTCTCTCTCTCTCTCTCTCTCTCTCCATCTCGTCTTTATATTATAAGGGTTTCTAATCCCTAAGTATCTGACATTTAGACTCAAATATGAGATACTTTCACATAAATAATTGCATGACTTTTATAAATACGAGCTCTGAACTGATATAACTTATGATAGTTTGACATTAATTACAAGTTGTCTATAGCTCTGCAATAAATGATAACTTATGTAACATTCGGTAAATTATAAATTAAAAATAAAACAATATAATAAATGCTTATTGAAAATTAGGTACATTTCCAAAGCCATGGGGCGAACGGATATACGTGACCTGGTATGCCATCAGTGTCTTCATTATACCATTCATGATCTTAACGGTCACTCATTATCACATTTGTCGCGAAATTTGGCTTAATTTACACAAAAAGCGCAAAAGTTTTCGATTAAACAAAAACAGAGATAACGTGTCGATGAAAGCGATGAAACAAAACGAGTTGGACTCGGATTCAGTGAATTCATCGCAAACTAATAGTGCAAACGTTTTAGTGTCTGTCGGAAAGTCCTTTCGATTCAAAGGCAGAGGAAAACTGGAGGTGAGTCTGGATAAGGATTTTGGCGATGATTTCAGTCCACGAACGCATTCAATACACGGCTTAAGTCGGGCTAAAATCAAAACGGTCAAAATCACAGTCGTTGTCATACTATGTTATATCATGTGCTCAACGCCTTTCATTTGCGTCCAATTATGGGCCTATTGGGTGCCGACTGCACAACAATCGCACATTTGGAATGGTATGCAATTCATTAACCCTTGCATTCCTGTCCACCGCATTCCTCCTCTTCTCTCCCTTACAATCTGTTTAATTCAAAACTTTATTTGAAAACTTTAACTAATATTATATGAGAGTTAATTGTATTTTACAATTATAGAAGTATGCTTTTAAATTGAGTCAATAATAAAATATTAACTGATTTTGGTCATAATATTGAGTGCAAAACTAAAACTAATTTAATTGATTAGTTTTAAAATTAAGTTAATTTATTAACAACTAAATAGATTATAGAGAACTAAATCGCAAGAGTACTACAAGTATTTTATAATATGAAATATTAAATTTAATTGTTTTGATTGTTTATAACTGTTGGAAATATTCTTAAGTTACGATTAAGACATTACACAAGCGTTTTATGTTTTAATTTTACTCAATATATCATTAATCAAATGCAGAAAACAAAGAATTATAAATGTGTTACAAAATTGTTATTTTTCTATAAAATAAATCTATAATATTAATACTTGAAACAATATTTCCAATATAAAGGTTATCGAAGATTGCATTTAATTGAGTTATATTCTGGTGAATAACAAATGAAAAATGATTTTTTATTAAATTAGCGGTTTATGAAGTAATTGAATGATTAATGATTTTTATCACATTTATCAACAATTTTATTATTACTGTATATAACTTACTATACAATTATAGACTGGTTTTCACTCAATAATATTTGCTTTAATTTTGTTGTATAGAAATTGAAAAAACTCACAATTGAATTGTCAGTAATATTTCTGCAAAATATTCTTAATTCATATTTAATTATCTATAAAACAATCGAAAATGACTTTTGACTTTTTTGATTATATAATTGTTTGATTAAATGTATTAAAATATTGTCAACAGAAATGAGACAAATGAACAGAAAATAATTTATTTCTATTGATTTATTTATTTTTTGAGTGAATTAATAGTTATATAAAGCAAATACATCATAAATAAGTAATAATATTAACGACGTTTATGTGTATAGTATTGCAAAACAATCTTTTCACACAAACATTAATTCATAAGAAATGATTTATTTGTTACAAATTATTTCTATTTCCGTTATTTAACAAAATATAGTCTATTTTATTATAGACTATTTAATATATGATTAATTACTATAAATAAATGTTTTATTTTCAAATATTAATGCTGGAAATATAATCATTACAATTATTATTAACCGTAATAAGCCAAATATGGTTAGTTTATATTTATAAAATACAAATACAGAACTATAATATTATAGCAAATAAAATCATATTTTAAAATAACTTATGTATGAATAAAATGTGGACTTAATTTCCGTTTTGAGATTTGAGTTTTTTGTTTGACATTTTTATAATTGAATAAAAATGAGTTTTTTTCAATTTATAGCAAATATAGTGTGATTTTAATAACATTTTTTCATTTTTGTTGAAATCAATCATCTGTTGTAACAATTGCTTCCTTAATACACAGTATATAAGTTATATAAATATTGCAAATTATTTTTTTAAAGGTGTCTTGAATACTAAATTCACGAAAATAATAAAGATTTTATTATTAAAATACATAGATTTTTCAATTTGTTTTTTATATTTGTGATTTTATATTTTATTCAATTAACAAAATATCAAATAATTTCAATTACAGGTCCAATGATTGCTGTACTAATGCTTTTGCCGAGTCTTAACAGCTGTAAGAATTGAAATCAATTTAGTACTCATAAAAAGCTTTTGAAATCAATTACAAACGTCTAAAAAGCGGTTTATCTTCACTGATATAGGCGTTAATCCATGGATTTATCTGTACTTCAACCAGAATCTGGTGACTGCACTCACGAACTGCTTCTCAATCAAAACTGTGTCCCAAAGACACAGTTGTCAGAGAAATACTCAAACATCCAAACGAATGAAGGATATCGTCGTGAAAGACAACAACCCTATAGGACTCATACACACCAACGATGACGACAACACATCCCTTCCCTTCAGTACTAAATCACAACATTATTTTACACCAGAATCTCATAAAAGTCTACCAGAATTTGTAAACGTTTGCAAAGAGTTTGACATTTGATTATATTTTTATTACTATTAATTTTATAAATAACTAATTCATTGTAAATCCATAAGAAAATTAATTTGTTAAACAGTAAAGTACAATAAAATATAACATATTTGTTATTAGTCAAACAAAATAGGTAATTTATATTTTTGTTGTATCATGGTTAATATTATGGATTATAAATTAAAATATAATAATTTACTAAATTATAAACGAATGAGAGTTATGCCTATTTAATAGTTAATTATTTAAAATAAAACAATTACTGCAGAAGTATTGCAATATTTGTGAAAAGAATAGAGAATTGAATGTTGGATAAAATCAATTAAATAAATGTTTAAATGTATGAAAGATGGCATTCATTTCCATTCGTTTTAATGTAATGTTTATTAAGAATATGACTGAAAAATGAAATAATTATCATAATATTTATCAAATAACCATAATATTTAATAGAATTACTTGATATAAAGTAAATATTAACACTTTATTATTAAATCTACAAAATAAAACATTAAAATGTTAGTTTGTTAACAATTTGTTAATAACAAACAAAATTATTAGTTTGCATTATTTACCAAAAATAAGTGACAAAAAGTAACAAATTTTTATATTTAAAATAATTGATTTATTTAACAGAATATTCTTAACTAATAATTGTTTGAATTTTCTATATGTGTTGCGCTAAATAAATATTGATATTTGTTTACATGATGTTAGTATAATTGCTTTATAATATAAACATAATATTTATATGTATTATAATAAATAAATGATCATGCACAATTCACTTTATATTTATAGTCATATAATTCCATCAATTTTATAGCGTATTCTAAACAAAAATTCATACTTTCTTTAAAACATATACAAAATGTATGAAAAAGAATATAATTCTATTTCTGATAGAAAGAAAGAAAGAAAGAGAGAGAGAGATAGAGAGAGAGAGAGAGATTTACTGTAAAATAGTACTGCAACAAACAATTAGAAATAAAATATTTTGTGATGTATTAGTTCTTACATTTCATGTTTATAATTTATGTGCTAAGAAAGAGAGAGAGAGAGAGAGAGAGAGAGAGAGAGATTTACTGTAAAAATGGTAAAATCATGATAGAATTTGTTAATCAATTAAAAGTTTAATTTAATTTATTACAATGGATGTTAAATATTAAAATAACAATTAAAAGTTATCTTGATTTTGTAATTGTTTATTTATTTTAAACATTATTACATTTTATTTTTATTTTTAAAATCCATCCAGTGATGGATTTATTGATATAGTAAAATACAATTATAAAAATAATTTAAATAACAAAAATTAAAAATAAAATATAATACTGTTTACTGATACTAATACTGATACTAATAATGTTTAATAATTAATCTAATTAATAGATTCTAGCACATAAATTATAAACATGAAATGTAAGAACTAATACATCACAAAATATTTTATTTCTAATTGTTTGTTGCAGTACTTGTAAATTCCTATAAGATTTTCATTTAACAGAGACATCAACTAAATATATGCCCACATATTCTTTAGTGATATTTTTTACATTAAATGTGTAACACTTTGCAAATAGCCATCACAAAGTAGGCGCGTATGTGTTATGTCTGTCTCACAACTACTATACCGTACAACTCATTCATTATATTATTATTATAATGTAATAAATGCCAAAAATATCACATTTCAGATGATTTTCATATTATTTTGCAAATAATTTCCATTACAATAGACGCCGAAGAAAAAGTGTTTACATAAAAGTTGTTATAATTTCATATCAAAGGAACTGTTTATAACCAATGCTTTTAAACATTGCATTGTATTATGTATTTATAGATATGTCTCTTCTTTTCTTAGCAATTATTGTATATTTCTTTCAAAACAGAGAATATTTGCGATTTGACTGAAAAGGAAACACAGTTTCTATGAAGGCGTTTGTTTTGTATGACTTTTACATAAAAAGCAAATATTCATTTATATTGTATAGAATTTTATATTTTTCTTCAAGAATTATATATTTTATTAGATATAAAATAATTTATGTTAAACTTAACGTAGATTTAGTTTATAGCACAAAACCAAATGAAATTATACAATACAATAAATTTTGTTTCAAACATTTTGTTTTGTTATTTGTCCTAAAGTTTACTGTGATTTTATATATAAATGTTATATAAATTTACACTAGACTTGCAACTAAATTTCCCTGGAAGTAGAACTCCACAGATATTCCCCGTTCCTGTACAGACAAAAACTGGAAATGCAATTCCTGTAACACATAGAGGGAAGCCCTTTACTAACATTTCCTCGTTATTCTTGATTTTCAAATATTCAAAATTTATAGAATAAATGGTGAATTAAATATACTAAAAACAATGTATTATTTATAAAACTCTTATATAAAGTATTGTATAAACTGTACTTCAAATGCAGTTGAAAATAAGTTTTGACAAATACCGATAAAGTTTTAAACAAAATTTTAAATACAAATATTAGTTAACATGGCAAATCAGGGATTCCCTGTTATCTGATCAACAGGGAAAAAAGAAGTGTATTGAAAATTGAAAAAAGTTGCAAGTCTAGTATACTTTACTTAACATATAAGACAAGGAGAGAGAAAGAGATATTCACTTATAGTTTTGGTGCACTTCTTATGGCAAT